AGAAAGAAAGAAAGAAAGAAAGAAAGAAAGAAAGAAAGAAGGAAGGAAGGAAGGAAGGAAGGAAGGAAGGAAGGAAGGGGAGAGAGAGAGAGAGGAAGGAAGGAAGGAAGGAAGGAAGGAAGGGAGGGGAAGGGGAAGGGGAAGGGAAAGGGAAAGGAAAGGAAAGGGAAAGGAAGGAAGGAAGGGAGGAAGGAAAGAAGGAAGGGAGGAAGGAAAAGAGAGAGGGAGGGAGGAAGAGAGGGAGGGAGGAAGGAAGGAGAAAGAAATAAAGAAATCCTTTATCTCTATAAGACTGGGAAGACTTAGAGAGACTTGGGAAGTCCACCAGAATTGGACACTACAAGGAACAACAAGATTTGCCCCTGAATGCTTCGGGAATATCAGATGAAAAAAAGAAAACAAAACAGTTTTTTGAGCAGCCACTATGTGCCAGACATTGATCTAAATATTGAAGACAGGGGTCGGAGGCATGGCTCACAGCTTTCAGTGGCTTAAGGAGCAAAAGTGAGAGAAAGAGAGAGGAGAGAGAGAGAGGAGATAATATATTAAAATAGGCACATACATTCAAATAGCATTATGCCAAAACCAATTTGGGATTTTTGTTTAAAGTTTGGACCAACTGCCTTGATACCCTGCAGATACACCAAGCAGGCTGTTATTCTTCATGTTTGAGGGTATTTCATCGTCAAGGTCTTCTTTAGAAGAGTCAAAGTGCCCATCATCTTGATGAGGAGTTGGTTCACCTTTTTTGTTATTTGCTGGAGTAAAGGGTGGTGCCGCTCCTCAGCCCTTCCATACTTGGAAACCAGGGAGTAGTCATCTATTTCTGAACTACATGCAGATGCCTCTTTCCTCTCTTGATTAGGGTGAGCAGGTTAATCCCGTCCCATAGCAAATATCTGCTCTACTGTATCCTCCCACCTGCCTGATTTCGGCCAGCACTAAACTTGGACATCACACCTGAACTTGGGCAGCACCTAGATCAAAGCTAGAATGATGCTAAGCAGTGCAGAAAGGCCTGGATCGGAAGCCCAGCCCAAGACCTGGGGCAGTTGTCTGTTGCTACACAAAATTCATAAACACAGACTGTGCATTCCACAATACCCATGGTTTTTTTCATCTTCTCCACTGGAACATGAAGATTCTCAGGGAAGTCTGAATTGTATGACTCTCAAAAGGGCACAGACAAAGCCTGAACTAAAAAACTTGTGACAAATCTATGGTCACTCCTCTACAGCAAAAGCACTCCCTCTATGCAGTGAGGACAGCCACCCAGCATACACACACAGGGACAACTCATCCTACATCCTGTGCACTTTACACCCATACACAGGAATAGTATACGATGCCCCCCCCCCAAAACCAACTGTTTATTAGCCATATTTTCTGCATTTGTCATTTCTGCTCTAACACAATGATGTATGAAGCATGATATTATAATGCAATCAGCATTAATTTTGTATATGGTTTGGTTGTGTCCCCGCCCAAATCTCAACTTGAATTGTAGCTCCCATAGTCCCCGCGTGTTGTGGGAGGGACCTGGTAGGAGGTAATTGAATCATGGGGCGGGTTTTCCCCTGCTATTCTCATGATAGTAAGTCTCACAAGATCTGACTGTTTTATACAGGGGAGTTCCCCGGCAAATGCTCTCTTGCCTGCCACCATGTAAGGTGTGACTTTGCTCCTCCTTCACCTTCTGCCATGATTGTGAGGTCTGCCCAGCCATGTAGAATTGTGAGTCCATTAAACTTCTTTTTCTGCCGGGCACAGTGGCTCATGCCTGTAATCCCAGCACCTTGGGAGGACAAGGTGGGTGGATCACGAGGTCAGGAGATCAAGACCATCCTGGCGAACATGGTGAAACCCCATCTTTACTAAATACACAAAAAATTAGCCAGGCCTGGTGGCGTGCACCTGTAGTCCCAGCTACTCGGGAGGCTGAGGCAGGAGAGTGGTGTGAAACAAGAGGGTGGAGCTTGCAGTGAGTAGAGATCACGCCACTGCACTCCAGCCTGGGCGACAGAGTGAGACTCTGACTCAAAAAACAAAAACAAACAAACAAACAAAAATCTTCTTTTTCTTTATAAATTACCCAGTCTCGGGTATTTCTTCATAGCAGTATGAAATGAACTAATACAATTTTATTAAGGGGTTAGGATAAGTTTAATGTCTCTCTATTTATGACATGCATAACAGATGTTTCTTTCATCCAAAGCAGAATAACAAAAACAAAAAAACCTCATAATTCACTAGAAAATATTAAACATTAATATACTAACGGAAGAAAACATGCCTTACATGAAATACATGGCAAAGAATTTGATAGCAGGACCAGGAGAGTGTGGCCAACAGAACCATCTCACCATTACCGGAAAGCCGACTCCAGTTCATCACTTTAGTTTTGCTGGGACATTGAATGTCATGTGCTTTTTTAAAAAAATAAAAAAGTGTTATCTAAATTAAATCCGTACTGAGAATATATCTCCTGTGATGTCCGTGTGTCCCCAGGTCAGCTCGCCCTTCTGCCAGGTGCCAAAGTGAGTGTGCATCAGCACAGGCATTCCCGTGTGCAAAGGACAGCTGGGCTCTCTCAGATCTGCATTGTGCTTTTTTTTTTTTTTTTTTTTTTTGACAGGGTATCACTCTGCTCCCCAGGCTGCAGTGCCATGCCATGATCTTGGCTCACTGCAGCCTCAATCTCCCAGGCTCAAATGGTCCTCCCACCTCAGCCCTCCAAGTAGCTGGGACTACAGGCGGGAGCCACTGTGCCCAGCTAATTTTTAGATATTTTGTAGAGACGAGGGTCTCACTATGTTGCCCAGGCTGGCAACTCCTGGGCAAGGAGATACATTCTCAAGCGATCCTCCTGCTTGGGCCTCCCAAAGTGTCGGGATTACAGGCGTGAGCCCCGGGGCATGGCCAGGTGCTGTTTTTTTCACACCCACTCAGACTTCCTGGCTCTCAGGTGGGGAGCACCGACGGAGCTGGCAGGCGGGTCAGGGGGCTGCAGGCGGCTGCAGGAAGGGTGCGCCGCTAGGTGGCTGGGGGCTGCTGAGGGCTGCTCCTCGGATCCTGAGCCCCTCGGGTCCTGGGCGGCCTCTCGGTAGGGCCTGCCCCGGGGCTGCCTGCCCAACTTTTCGCTGGCGGAGGATGTCACCTCACTCTCATCCTCATCTGGAATCTTCGTGTGCCCTGACACCCTGGATGTAACCCTGGGGCTGCCGGCCCCCTCCCCGCCGGCGCGTGCAACCGGGGGCTCAGGAGCCCCCTCTTGCTCCCGCCCACCCTCCTTGTCCGTCGGGCGTCCCTCGGGGTGGCCAGGGGCTCCGCTCTGCTTCCGGATGGAGGGGCTCGTCGGGGGTCCGGGCCTCCTGCGCATCCGCCGCCGCAGGCTGCAGACCAGGTCCGCGAGGCCCAGCAGGAAAGACAGTGCGCTGACCGCCCAGAGGAACAGCATCAGCAGGGACTTCTCCGTGGGCCGCGACACGTAGCAGTCCACCACGCCCGTGCACGGAGGACGCGTGCAAGGGAACTTATTTGGGGCCAGGAACCCAAAGAGAAGGTAGTTCAAGGCCCCGAAGGCTGCCTCCAGCAGGGTCCGGAGGAGGAGGTGGATGATGTAGCCGGCCGAGAAGTCGGGCACCTCGAGGCCGCCGCGCTCCCTGCAGGACCCCGGGCAGCGTCTCTGCCCGGAGGCCGTGTCCCGGGGTTCGGGGCAGCGGCGGGGGCCTAGCGCGGCTAGCGTGGCTCCTCGGTGTAGGACATAGACGCTGAAGACAGCGGAGGGGAGGAGGACGCACACGCCCTGGATCAGCCAGAACCGCAGGTGAGACACGGGGGAGAAGACGTCATAGCAAACGTTGGCGCATCCCGGCTGCAGCGTGTTGCAGACAAATCTCTCCTGCTCGTCCTGGTAGACGGGGCGCCCCGCCAAGACGATCACCAGCATCCGTAGCAGCATCGTGAGGACGAACCAGAGCTTTCCTGGAAGAGAGGAAGCAGGCATAGCCTCATCACCCCGGAATACACTGCCTTGAACAACAGTTTTAAAGTTTGTATTGGGGCTGAGATTGGGGAACTGAGACGTCAATAAGCATGTCTTTAGTTTTCTGTTTGTTTGTTTGTTTGTTTGTTTGTTGTACATAGGGTCGTGCTATGTTGCCCAGGCTGGTCTTGAACTCCTGACCTCAAGTGCTCCTGCCGCCTTGGCTTCCTAAGTAGCTGGGATTGCAGGCATGAGCCACCACACCTGTCAGCTTGTCTTTACTCACAGCAAGAGTATCAGGTAGTTCATTTGACAAGTATTTATTGAGCACTGAACATCCTTGTTTGTAAGATGCCTCAAGATGAGCAGATTTTTTAAAAGCATTATATTAAAAGTGTTTTAATCTGTCTGCTAATTCAGACTTTTGGTAATGTCTCCTGGACTGACAGATTCAGAAAGAAAGTTTGGCTGAGCAAATTAATGATGTAAATAAGATTTACATTTTCTTCTTAGGAGAATAAGCCTTTTAAAAGAGGTTGGCATATTTCTGTAACTGTGTATAGCCAATTCGAGCTGCTGATTTCAGTAAATCTTCTTACTTATGACAACAGTCCAGGGATCTCTATTTAATCACAGGGCTTGTATTTAATGTTAGTCTATGGCCTTTGAAATTGAATTTCTTTATGAACATTCCATTGTTCAGATTTTTTAATCATTCAGAATTCCTCTTCCCCTTTTCCAGCTATTAAGAATGAATGAGGCTTGTCCTTCTTCAATGTATGGTGACTGAGTGACACCAAGCTGGGAAACCAAAATAACTGTCAAGCCCTATTTTCATGGCACCGACCAACTGTTTCGAAACGTGTTTAAAACTCAGCCAAAATAACTTGTGAATATTGTGTTTTGAAATGAGAGAAACATCGCCTGACATCAGAAAAACAAAACAAAACAAAAATAAATAAATAAAGACAGTCAAACAAAGAATAATATCACTACGTGATGAGTCATTGAGTTGAACTTTTAACATCAAGTTGATCTTGTCTAAATCTACAAAACAATGAGCCGGGAAAGTATCAACCGCATCCCTGGCATATATTCATCCTTTGCTGACCCCCATACCTCTCTGAAAATGTGAGTCATCTACATTAAACAAAAATCTGTTATTTTCTTTGTTAAAAAAATAACTAAACTAAACTTGGGATTTGGTTTAAAGTGCACAAGAGAAATGGCTACTCCTTAAAAATTAAGCTTCCAGGCCAGGCATGGTAACTCACGCCTGTAATCCCAGCACTTTGGGAAGCTGAGGCAGGTGGATCACAAGGTCAGGAGATCGAGACCATCCTGGCTAACACGGTGAAACCCCGTCTCTACCAAAAACACACAAAAAATTAGCCAGGCGTGGTGGCATGTGCTTGTAGTCCCAGCTACTCGGGAGGTTGAGGCAGGAGAATCACTTGAACCCGGGAGGCAGAGGTTGCAGTGAGCCGAGATCGCACCACTGCACTCCAGCCTCGGTGACAGAGTAACACTCTGTCTCCAAAAACAAAAACAAAAATTAAGCTTCCAGGATAAAACCTAAAGGGATCACTTTCTCATTCACATTTGCTGTTCTGTGCCTTTTCCTGGTAACGTAGCCACACCAGGGTTGCACACAAATACCCCTCCACCTGCTTCAGTCTTCAGAGTCAGCACCCCAGTGTCAGCACAGGAGGGCCTGTGAGAGAACAATGTCACACGCAAGACCCTTACATGACAGAGGAACCGCAGAACCATTCTAAAAAAATAGAAGCCTTAGCTCTCTTTCCTCCAGAAAGGCACAGCAGCCCTTTGTTTTGGCAGTGGGTGAACTTTCAGCTTGGTGCCTGCACACTGAAAATGAGGAAATACCTGGACCCGTTAAGAAGGACTCAATTCCACCATGGCAATGGAAACAAAAACTGCGCGGGAGTTTGGAGACAGTCCCAATACTCACCCACCATGGTCACGTTGCAATTTAGTGTGATGATGAGGAACCCTAGCAAGTCCACGCCTTCCATGCTTCCAGAATGTCACAGGCTCCAGGCTGCAGGAGACACTGCAGGGCGTGTTCTCCAAGGAGGTGGAAAAATCCTCGCCTGGATAAATGTCCGTTAATTACAAAAGACTTAAAGGTGTGAGCTGGAGATAAGAAAGCAAAGCTTTGAGCCAGGAGTAGGAGATGGGTTTTTCTGTCTCCAAGTTGAGACGGCCCTAAGCCTCTGAGGCAAAACATTCCTGACAACTGCAGTGACCAGCAGAGCAAGCAGCAGTCATCTCTTATTGTGGGCTATTCTTACCCGCCTGGGATATTCCAGGCCTGTGGCAGCGCTCATATGTCCCCATCAGGACAGCCAGATGCTTCAGGATATAATAGCAGCAACTACTTTTAACCCAAGAAAGAAAAACTTCTGCTAACTAGTCAAGTCAATTTTTCTATTAAAAAGGCATTTGCTCCTTGAAAACATCTCCACAACCACTTCACTCGTGCAAGAAGCCCTTAAAGTGTTCATGTTTTGTCTTAAAGAAGTGTTCATGTTTTGTCTTCTCAATCAAGCATGAATCGCCATGCCACCATCACACGAGCCCACAAGGATCTCACCCTTATTCTGAATTCCTGTATCATGGGTGCAGGCAGAAATCTGTATCTCAGTCGGGTGTCCCAACTTTAGACCGTGACTTGGTTATTCTCCTGCTGCTTCCTGTGCAGTGAGTGACAGCTCTTCCCTTAGAGACAAAAGCCTGGGTGCAAAGCTGGGGGCAGTCCCCAACTCACTGGGGAAGTCACTGGATCCTTCCAGACAGTCTCATCTTGCAATAAGGAGAATCATGCCATTCCACTCGGCATTTGTGGGAGGTTTCTGTGAAATGATGGCATAGAATAAGAGCAACTGGTGTGAAGTGGGTGTATGACAACCCATATCCATGGTATTTCAATCCCTCACTGGCCCCTACGACCTTCACAGATTACATCTTCCCTTTGTATCGCCCAGCCCCATCTAGCCTGGAGCTGTTCCCATTGAATCTACTTAATAAATGTCTGTTAAATTTGTCATGAACTATCATGGTCTGGACCTGCTGACATCAATCACAGTTGCATCAAAATCCTATCGCCGCAGCCACCTTCATATCTGGGAAGAACCCATCCTGCAGGGTTGGGGAGCTATGATCAGGGTGGAAATTGTAAACTTGAAAAGGAATGATTTCAATTTTCCATGAAAGCTATTCTTTATATCCCCATCTTTTCTTCATTTCTGATCTATTCTTGACTTTAGTAATATCCCTAGAAAGATTCCCAGAAGAGTGCAACAAAGCTACTTTCATCTTTACTCACATGACACGCTCCCATCCACGGAAAACGTTTTGACCCCCTTGAAAGGAACAGTGGTTTTGCTATATTTTAGTCAAATGCTCCGACATGAGCAATGAAATTGGAGAAATTGTAGTTAAGTAAAAATATTGAAATAGTCACAGGGTGTATAAAATAAAGGAGAATTTGTCTCCTAATAGACTGCTTATGGTATTGGCTTTTTTAAAAAAAATGAAATATTAGGAAAGCAATTACTGAATTTGCTGTGTGATAGAAATAGCCTGTCCCAAATGCAGAATAAATTAGCACTGCATGACCATGAGCAAATCACTGGAGCTCTTCATGCTTCAGTTTTCTCATCAGTGAAGCAGGAAAAAAGAATGTGTTCTTCACCCACTCACAGTGACTGTGATATGCAAAATGGGACCAGAGATGTGAAAATGATTTTGAAATGTAAAGAATGACCCAGTGTCAGTGACAGGTGCATCTCAGGGTCAGCTCCTCTGGTCCCACCCTTCAGCGCATCTTCTGAGCAGCCCACGCCCACCCACCTCCCTTCTCATCCTGGTCACCTTTGCTCTTCCTCCTTGAAGTCTACCCCATCCCCATTCCTTGTCTTTTTTCTCTTTCTCCTTTTTTCCTCTCTCCTGCTAGGTGACATTTTGCTTTACTTGGAAATCCTAACTCTGGCCAGGCCCAGAGGCTCACACCTGTAAATTCCAGCACTTTGGGAGGCCGAGGCGGGTGGATCACTTGAGGTCAGGAGTTCGAGACAAGCCTGGCCAACATGGTGAAACCCCATCTGTACTAAAAATACAAAAATTAGCCAGGCGTGGTGGCGGGCACCTGTAGTCCCTGCTACTTGGAAGGCTGAGGCAGGAGAATCACTTGAACCCAGGAGGCAGAGGTTGCAGTGAGCCCAGATCGCGCCACTGCACTCCAGCCTGGGTGACAGAGTGAGACTCTGTCTCAAAAAAGAAAAGAAATCCTAACTCCAATGGCTATGTGAAGCTAGCTAGAGGTAAGGGAAGCAGAGAAGGTGGAGGTGTCTGGGCATCAACTCCCGACTGTCTCTGTAAGAGCATCCCAGCGCCGATAGGGTTTCTGTATGTGTATGTGGAGTAGAGAGAAGATGTGGGGAGTACTGTGTTCAACCCATGACCAAAGAAACCAGCTGGGAGTCAGGGGCTGAAGTGTACAAGATGCCAAAGTGGGAGAGTTCACTAAACGCAGGTGGTCAGCACGGGCCCTGTGGCTCACATCTGTAATCCCAGCACTTTGAGAGGCCGAGGATGGAGGATCACTTGAGGCCAGGAGTTCAACACCAGCCTGGGCAACATAGAGAGTCTCATCTCTACAAAAATGTCTTTAAATTAACCAAGTGTTGGCATGCTTGTAATCCCAGCTACTCAGGAGGCTAAGGTGGGAGGATCAGTTGAACCCAGGAGGTCGAGGCTGCAGCGAGCCATGATCATGCCATTGCACTCCACCTTGGGCCTCAAAGCAAGTCCCTGTATCTAGAAAAAAGGAAAAAAAAGTGTTAGCAGAAAGGAAAGATAACAATAGTGCTACGTGGCACTCAGCCTTGGCCTCACCTCTCTCTAGTGTAGTGACTTTGGCAAATTGTTTAGCCTTCAGTTTTACCATCTATAAACTGGGGTAATAATACTAAGCGTACAGGGTTGAGAATTAGGGTTCATTTAAATAAGGTTCTAGCACGTTATCTGCCCAGTGAGAAGCTTTCAAAATATGATGAGTTCAGTCAGTTCTCATTATTCATAGTAGCTATGTTTTATAAAGTTACCACCAACACTGCAATAGTGAATACTAGGGGCTCCTTGGGGAAATACACGGTTAGGTGACAACACTTTCACCAACCAGTTAACACATTGCCTTATTTTATGTGTGTTTCTGTTCAAATACACCTTATTTAATATATATTAAATATATACTAACCCACTCACATTAAATCATGGCCCACAGCGCTATCACTCACATCTGAATGAAACCCATCTAACACATGTAGTTTCTCTGCAAGCCCTGGCACAGCCCTCCTGCACTCAGAAGAACCAGCCAGCACTCATGCAGCACTATGCTTGGGACCATTTTATTTTATTATTTAAAGAAAAAATTTAGAGACAGCGTCTCGCTCTGTCACCCAAGCTGGAGTACAATGACATGATCATAGTTCACTGTAGCCTGGAACTCCTGGGCTCAAGCCATCCTCTGGCCTCAGCCTCCTGAGTAGCTGGGACTGCAGGGTGGTACCACCAGGCCTGGCTAATTTTTTAGTTTTTTGTAGAGATGGGGGTCTTGCTACATTGCCCAGTCTAGTCTCAAACTCCTGGCCTCAGGCAGTCCTCCTGTCTCAGCTTCCCAAAGTGCTGAGACTATAGGTGTTCACCACTAAGCCCATTGGGGACCACTTTAAATGGCAAAATCACCAACCAAAAGCACAAAAATGCAAAACATATGGCACTAATGAGACCTTGGGAGAAAGTACTCGTTGGCATTGTGAGAGCAGAAGCAAGAAGGCAGGGCAGCCCCTGCTTCCACCCCAACTAAGAGCACATGTGTCAGACAACACACATTTCCCACCACTCTGCATGTGTCCACGAATGGCAGATAAAGTCTTATGAGTATTGCTTTTGGGATTATGAATAAATTTTAGCAAGTAGATGAACTTGCAAATAAGAAATCTGTGAATATGAGGACTGACTGCACTTAATAGAAGGATCAACTAGCGAGAAGAGCAGCTGAGTCCCAGGAAGAGCCAATTCAGAAGAGAAACGGATCCCTGGAAACCCCAGGGACTCGGAGTCACAAAAACTGGAGGAGGATCCAGGCTCCAGACCCCACCCTCTTACTCCTGCTTCAGTGAGAACACCTGCACTGCTATCTGTGTTGTCTTTTATGCTTTGGCCAAGACTCCCCTTGGATAAAGAATTCTACATCTAAAAAGAAACGTTGGAAAAGAGATGGCCTACGTGAGAATTATTATGAGAAGCAGCTTGATATCAAGGTTAAGGACACAGGCTCTGCAGTCTGACTACCTGGATTACCACTCTAGCTTCTTGACTGTATGATTGCGGGGGAGTCACTTAACTCAGTGTCTTCACTGTAGAATCACAATTCCCTGCCCCCTAAAATGGTGGCGAGGAATACATGGGAAAATGCCTAAAGCCTAGAGAACGGTGCCCCACCAATAATATGAACCCAATCACTGGCTTTTCACTTTTATTACCTGCCAGGAATGATGTACCAGTGAAGATGCAGGAGGCTTGGAGTGGCTTTTTCTTGACAGTGGGTGCTCCAGGGCTGGTGGGAAAAGGGCTCCCAAGGAAATAGAGTTCATTTTCTGGAGGCCTAGGAAATGATGGTATCTGTTTTGTTTTGTTGTGTGTGTGTGTGTTTGTGTGTAAGCAATCATTTATCTGATTTGAGAAATGTATGTTTGGGTTGTTATCAAGATGTAAAGGACTTTTCCAGGACTGTAGACAGAAAGCAAATATTTACCAGAGGCACCAACACAACAGTTTAATCATGCCTACAGTTGCATCTCATCTGCATATGCAAATCTACCCAAAAAAATAGATTGTACTACTTTCTTGTCAATCTAGTTTCCCACTGGCATAGGTACTGTAGGGTCAACCAGGTCCGTGCTGTTTCACCCCAGCCACACCCACAAACTCCCCCTCATAAGACTTAGAGCTAAAAATTAACCACTGGTACAAGGAAGAAATTTTCTATTTTCTTCAGCTGAGCCTTTTCGTGCTCTTAAAGTCCCCAAAACTGGCGTTCTTGGACTGCATTTTCACCTCCAGTTCAACTCAACTGCGCAGCTCCTCAGTGTCTGCTCTCTACCAAGACAGCATTCACAGTGC